ATCATATTTTTAACTTAACTTTTTTAAAAACTGTAGCAAAGAGTGTAGTGTAAGTAAAATGGAGCCAAAGATCAGTTCATGGAAATCTAAAGTAAATATAACTTTAAATATATAAGTCATTTACACATTATATTGATATGGGTAAGTGAAAAGCACTTGCTTAAATATCATGAGCTCTTAGTGGGAAGTGCTTAAATGAAAATCTATTTTTCCGTTTATTCTGGAAAGTTGGCCAATTTCAGAATTTTTAGAAAGCTGCTTCTTTAAAAGTCACAGGAGTAAAAATACTCTTCTATCAAAAACACTCCTTGCCTGATCTTGATTCCAAATGTAAGTTTCTGATTAAAGTAGAGTGGAATATTTTATATTCATGAAAGTGTAAAATAATAGAATTTTTGTTGAAAATATCTAAGTTGCAATTACCAATATAGTTCATTGAACTTATACTACTTACATACTTCACTGAACATCTTATACTAACAAGATTACTTGAGATATAACTGTGGGAATTTCACAAATAATTTATACCCACTGAAATACCAAGGTTTTTTAACAATAAAGGCTTTAGGAAGAAACATATAAGAAAGACATTAACTTGAAGACATCCTCTGTCACCGTTCCTGGCAGCAATTGCATTGCATTCAGTACCACAACTCTGCAAGTATATATTTGCATGCTAAATAATTAAGACTAAATTTTATCATAGAAGTATAATTTATACACTTTCCATGCCTTATCATTTTACTGTATGTTATTCAAACCAGGGTCAACTAACTGTTTATATAAAGTGCCAGAGAGTAAAGAATGCTATGTAAGCAGTTACATAACAAGAGGGTAAAGAATCTCAATAAAATTTAATTGCTAAAATTCAAAATATAATACTAATATTTGAGTAGAAATTTTTGTCATACAGGTTTACTAATAAGTGGAGGACTAAAATTTGAATTTCATATAATTATTTTTGCCAGGAAGAATTCTTCTTTTAATTTTTTTCAGCTAAAAATGGAAGAACCATTCTAGCCCATGGATCTTACAAAAACAGGAAGCAGGTCAGATTTAGCCTATTGGGCCAGAGTTAACCAACCCGAGTTAAATATTTTATTATCTTAAAATAGATGTTACACCATTCTATTAATCAATTTTCCTTAACAAAAGTCAATTTAATCTTGATATACTGATTAGCTCCAATACAGAAATTGTTTATACATGATATAAGTTCCAAAATTAATTTTAGAAGACTATAATATTTATTGCATAGAGTAAGTAGCGGGTATTATGTGAAAGTTATGCTTGATCTCCATGTTGGCCCATGAGTTATGTTATCTCCAGAGATAGAGACTGCCATTATCAGATATTGTTGAGATACATGTAATAAGAAGTGGAGAAAATGAACTGAATAAATGAAAATAAACTACCATTGCTATTAGAAAAGTGAGTCAAAGTACATGCTGATATTTATAAGGGCTAGACATTTATGCATTGCATCATAGAATCATATTTTATCTGTACTTTACTATTGTATGCTATTTATTTTTTGCTATATAAATAAATTTTGGGGAGGGGGAGAAAAGAAAGGAGCTTCTAGAAAGAATTACAAGGTTGAGTTTTAACAATGTGAGAATCTGTCCCGCTGTCTTCCAGGGCCTACATGAGTGATCATCTATCTACTCAGGCAACTTGCCTTCATCTATTCTTCTTAGGGTAGATATTAGATATGGCCTTTATTTCCATCAGAGAAAAGAAAGAACACAGTGAGATGTTAACTTCTAGTTAAGTCACTGGTGAGCATTAATTATTCTCAAGAGCAGGGTTCAGTATATCAGAGGCTAGAGAGCCTCTCTCACATGATCTGCAAGTGTAAAAATAAAAGGAAACTCTTTTCAGTCTTACTACTGCACCCATTCCTTCTTTTCTGGTGAGTTGGCCCCTTCCTCAACCACATCTTAATGTTCAAAAACTGGATTTATAAGAACAATTAAAAAATAGAGAAATATTTCATTCTTAGTGCATGTCTCTTAGTAGCAAGCAAAGAAACCAAGAATAGCCAGGGCGGCTTCTCAAAGAGTATGCCCTTCTACATCCATCTCTAAACTTTGATGAAAGGGACACTTCAATATAATTCAAAAAGCTCATCTTGATGAGAACAAAGGAAAAAAAGTTATGAATAGTTCACTGCTCTTGAAATGTCAGACAGGGTACAAGTAGGTAGAGAATACGGTTCATTGAACGTATTTCATCTTTAGACAGATAAGAACTTAACAGGGCCACCAAAAATATGCAAGCATATGAGTCTAGCAGTTTATAGATATTTATATACACATATACCTATATAAAAATGAGCACATATACATATATGTGAATATATATGTTTGTCTTTGAACAGAATCCCTCTAATGTAAAATTTCCCTGCTGATTAATTGGAGCAATTAACATTCAAATTAAAGTGCACCTAATCCCTGAGCTGTACTGGTTTGGCAGAGTTCTGTCCCATGAAAGCTTTCAAATTGGCAACCTTGGCTGACTCTGTAGATGACAGATTTGCTCCTGATTCATCAGATGTAAATAAAGGGGAAAGGTCTTGGTGGTCACTTGAGAGATAGGCCTTTAATTTTATTCATTTATATTCAGTTCGTTCTGATTTTACTATTGGTATTCAAGACTGATTCACTTTCTGTTAATATAGTCTTGTCCAGAAGAATTACTGGAGTTATCATAATACTTTAAAAATACATATGCTGGTTGACAGTGGCTTGTCTTACACTAAATTCCCAATCTTGCTGGAAAACATACATACACTTGTTCTTTCAAAAAAGATGAAACATATGAAGGGCTTTACAGCATGGCTTGGTACAAGTAGATCTTACTTCTTCCAAAAAGAAAATGCTTCTTAAATATTGAAAAATGAAATAAAAATTGAGAAATGAAATATTTTCTTTTACACATACTGCTGCAAATCATACTGTGAAAATATTCACAAGAAATTACTAAGTGCAACTTTAATTATAGAAGGTCATTTCATTTCATTTTATTTTTGACACTTGAAGTCAACAGTCAATGCCACATGTATGGTAACCAAGAACTCCAACTTTAAATGTTCCTTATAATGAGAAATTGTATAGGTTTTGCAAGTTCATAAGATGTTTAAAAGAGCATTAGATTACTTCCTAAACACACCAAGGCTGAAAGAATATAGAACCAGCACAGAAATGTTAAGTTTCAGTGGGGGATCCAACCAGAGCCAAGCAGTCATAAATATTAAACTCTCCTCAGATCTTTGTAAGCATCTTTTCTTTTCTAAGAAGATATATTGCAAAAGAAAGCTATTTAATGTTGATGTACATCCTACACTTTTTATTCAGCTTCAAGAAAACAAACATAAACAACCAGCAGCCCGATTAATTAGATTAGTATATTATAAACCCAACTACAGGCAGTCTAATGAAAGACTGAACTGAGTAGAGGCCAGATTTAAGCTCTGCTTTTCTTGAGGGAAGAATGCTTGGGGTGATGTGCTTTACATTGTAAGAGTGACCTCTAGTGCATTTCTTTTTAGTTGAACTTTAGTGGTTGGAAGATGAATTACTTATGCCTTTTCTACACAACTTCCATTTGTGTGTGGGCATTTGTCTTGTCGTTATTTGCATGTATGTCGAAATGTTTGTCAAATGCTACCGTTATAAGATTCCAAGGTTTTGACTGGTGAAATTATACACAATTTACTGATTCATGAGATTATCACAACATTCAAACTAAAGTTGAATCCAATGTGCAGCACCTGCAGTGAAGTTCCCTTCTTTCAGAGTGATGGATGCCCTGTGACATTAAATGAGCTCATTCTGAATGGAAACATGAAATCGCGGGAGCCAGGCTCCATGAGCCGACATTTGATTTGTGCCCATGAATTTGTAATGTTTTTCCCACATCAGAGCTCTTTAGTATAGTCAAGTGATGTGCCACAGCAAATGCCTGATGACTGCTTCTGTTCCCCAAATCTGAATCTGATGATACAGCAGCACCATAAATTCCTCGACAGGCCTCCTAGCCCTTTCTTGAAAAGCAAATAAGTTTTACTTTAAAATCCAAGAAAAAATAAAAAGTTGTATTTGCCAAACTTGTTTGTCATTCATCAGGAGGGGGAAAATCTCCCATTTAAAAAATTTAAGCCAAAGGTAACTTTTAAAACTTTTTCTATCTTTAATGAAGAGTGGTCAAAGGGAGTCTGCCAAATTATTCTGGATGATATCTCAACTGTAAATAAGGTTTCAATCTTCCCTGAATGCATTGTATTTCATCAGAACATTCAATTACAAATTTTTGTAGTTAAACACTCAACCATGAAATAATCCTACTTTTGAAAGATCACCTGACCAATTTTCCTTTAAGCAAAATGTAGGAAGAGGCCCCTCTTTCAGGAGAGTGCTAAGTCTCATTCTCATAGCAGCGAGGGCACAGCTTTTAATACTGAGATTTGCCTCTGCCAGAGCTGGTGCTCCTCAAGTCTGCAGTACATTTCAGTTATTAGCCTGCATCATTTTAAAGATGCAGCCAGCTACTGGTCTGCCCAATTGCAAACTTCAGAAATCTAAGCCAATGCAGCATAATGTAAAGTCTGATGGTTGTTTTCCTGTTAGACATAATTCCAATAAAATTCAGTAGTTCCTTAAAGAGGAAGAAATCAAGACATTCACAGGCTATTCCCAAGATAAGATGTTAATTTCATGTTTTACTAGAACTTGGACATTCTCAATGAATATTCAAAGACCAGAGGGTAAGATTCTGCAAGTAGACAAAAAGAGAAATGACACTTTGCCTATTTTGACCAGATCCAGAGGAGAGACAAGTGTTAACCGGTCACATTGGCAAGATTTTTAAGTGATGCTTCGTTTACAGCAATATGCTTTGCAGCAATCCCAGCTGCAAATCATCATCACCAAAACAACAGAATCAAAGTTTTGCAGAGAGCCCCCCTGCAAGTTTTAAATCATTTGCGGTATACTTACAGGAATTCCCAGCTTCGACTCTGTTCCAATTTTGAGTAGATAACAGAAGTAGCATCTTGAGGACAGCTCCCGTGACAGATCCCATGTTCACATCTATTGGGCTCCCCCAAAAGATCTTGAGAGGCTCTCGGAGCGCTCCAGTCCTGTTCTCAGTCGCTCTCCCAGCTCTGTCTGGGTCTTCAGCCCCTCTAGGTCTCTGTCTCTCTCCCTCCCTTCCTCTTCACCTCCCTCCGTTTTTTCTCCTTCCCTCCTCCCTCTCTTCTCTTGCTCTCCGTCTCTCTCTCCCCTTCTCTCTCTCTCTCTCTCTCTTCTGTCTCTCTCTCACACACACACACCGCCCTGACTCCTCACTGAAAAGCACTCAGCATCTTTCCTAACAAGCATCCACATCGCCGAGGCCACGCCCACTCCTCGCAGCAGCGGTCCCAGAAATTGGCAGCAGTATCCTTCCTTCCAAACACACAACAGGGCTCGGAGCTCCGCCGCTCCCGGAGGTGCGGCCTCCCGCTCGTGGGCCTCCTTGGGGCTCCCTCCCTTCTCCTCTTTTTTCCAATAATCCTTAACCCTTTTCTCCCAGCTGGAGGTGTGGGTGGGGGAAGGGACCAGGCGGTGGAGCCTTCTGATTTTCTGGAGATCCTGCATTTGGCAGAGCCAGGCAACATACTGAGCTATTCCTGATTATCCGGGAGTGCATCCAGGTAAAATTGCATTATGTTTCAAAACAAAAGCATAAAATAAGACAGAAATAACCAAGCAGCATTGGGAAATTGTAGCTAAAACCGTCCTCGGGGAAAATAACTTGCTGTTGTTTTTCTCTGTTTCTATACAACTATACTCTTCAGCGAGGGTGCCAGGATTTTATTATGGAAATTCCTCACATGGGAACAGACATTCCTGCTTGGCAGATATTTAAAATTATCTGGTTATAGTCGGCAAGAAATTAACATTTCTTATTTTAATCCTTCAGGTGTACAAATCCACAAATGAAACATTTTGACTAGAATTATTTTGACAAATGAATCATGCTGTGACTATGCAGTAGCATTCTATAATCAAAAATTTTAATAACATTTCCAAAAAGGCCCAAAGTAGCAAATAATGGAATACTGAAGAAAGGGACCCCCCTTACACATACACACACGCATACACACTCACGCCAACACTGAGCAATGTGATAATGTAATTCAAGTGGCTTAAAGGAGAGAGGAGTAAAGTTGAATTCGAAAGATCAATGACTAAAGAAAAATTGCTCTTTGAATGGCTGGTCCATGGATACAACTATTTCTTGAATGGAATTTTAAAATGTCTAAATAATGGAGTTACTAACACATAACAAGAAGCATGTCACATGGTTCAAAGCAGAAAAATAATCTATTTAAAATAAATGTCAAGAGGTTTTACTGATAATGTGCTAGATTTTATAGAAATGGAAATCCTGGAGTTCTCAAGCACCTCTTGGTAATTACAAACTGGAAGATACATAAGCCTTTAACAACATTTTCTTATGGAATGATGAAAGAGTGGGGAAATGACAGAAATACCCATAAAAACTAAACGTACTTATTTGGCTCATGCCTGCAAACAAAGCAGAATGGATAGTTTTTCTTTTCCTATTTTACAAGAGAAAACAAGAACAGGGACTATAAATGAGTCAAAGAGGTCATAGAGTTAGTAAGTTAATGCTGAAGACTGGACTTGTTTTTTTTTTTTTTTTTTTTGGACTCCAGTTTCACCGTTCTTTACATGACTTATTGCCCCTAAATCAGGGTATACCTCCTTTATGACCCTTATCAGTGGCAGCAAAAAACTTAGGCCCAAGGAAAACAAAGCAAACACTTTGGGAGACCAAGGTGGGGGGAATCACTTGAGGTCAGGAGTTCGAGATCAGCCTGGCCAACATGGTGAGACCCCATCTCTACTAAAAACACAAAAATTACCAGAGTGTGGTAGCAGGTACCTGTAATCCCAACTACTCTGGAGGCTGAGGCAGGAGAATTCACTTGAAACTGGGAGGTGGAGGTTGCAGTGAACTGAGATTGCACCACTGCACTCCAGCCTGGGCAACAGAGTGAGACTTCGTCTCAATAAATAAATAAATAAAATAAAGGTCATGGCTTGATTGTTTATTCTGTGTTCCTAGACCTGCATTCCTGATTTTATTTTTTCAATCCTATGCTAAGTAAAAGCAGATATAAATTGACAGTTTATGTTAACTAATTATTGAAGGGGATTAAATTTTATTGAACACATACTTTTTGCCTTTTGTTATCTAATTAAATAATTATATCAGTCCTTTGAAGGAAATATCACTTTGTCTATGGGACAGTTTTGAGCTCTCCAGAAGAAAAAAGTTGTCTCGTTGTTAAAATATTAGTTAATTGTCCTCATAAAACAAATCAGGGAATGCATTTTAACTGGATAATAATACATATCAAAAATGAAAAATAAACATTTTATAACAATAATAACTTCTTTGGGACAAAGTATAAATTATTATAGTAACCAATAATGGCAGATTTTTCCATATCAATGAGCTACAGTAATAGAACGAGTTGGAGGTTGGCACTCAATAGAAGACCTGAGCTTCAAGTCACTGCAAAACCTGTCTCTGTCTGATGGCTGCAGAGGGGTAGAGAGTTGCACAGACAAGTGAAACAGAGTGCTTGAGACGTGGTAAACAGAGAGGCCTTGATACAAATTCAGCTTCCACTGTTGTTTTAATTAAATGACGCAATGACGCTGACCTTTGGTTTACTTGTTTTATAACCAAATAGGAGAAGCACGACTGAAGGGTTATTGTGATATAATGTATGACAACTATTGAATGCCTTGTGCTTAGTGGGCTCTCACTTATTTCCCAGCTTTAGATCTCTGCATTAGAACTGTACAGAGAAATGGTTTAAGCAGGCAATGTCAGAGCTCAGGAGCCCAGGTTCAGTGTCTACCACCCACCAGCTGCATGACCGTGGGTAAGCTCCATCAGGATAATAATCCTTGATCCTTAATTTCCTCATCTGTGACCAAGGATGAGTAAAGTATCAACCTCATGGTTAAGATGATGTCTTATAAAAGAAACATGCCTAGGAGGCACATGATCAATGTTTCTTTTGTAATAATTATATCACTACAACTCACATAGCACAGATAAGAAATCAGTGAGCAGAGGAATTACAGCTTACAGTGAGAAATGACCCACTGGCGGCAGAAAAGGATTGGTCTCCAAGACCTACTGACTTGTGCTTCATTTCTCCATTCCCACCAGGATGGTGTTTAACATCAGAAAATCGAAGGAAAAGTCAGAAAAGTATGGAGACCTAATTTTGCACACCTGTACTGCTGATTCACATTCCTTAAATTGCTTCTCCCTGTGTCTGCATTTTGGTTATATTTTCCACAAATTAAGAAAAGGTCTTGGTTTTAACATCTGGCATGTCCATACTATAGGTCACACCCAGCCCGACAAAAGCAATGTAAATCAGGTCAAAATGTTGAAATTCATAAAATCAGGCTTTGAATTATTTTTTGGTACAACTTGCCAGAGAACTGTATGTCCCACCACAGTGGTCCACTGAGGATCCCTAACTATAGTTTAGACCACAAAAGGACGAACAGAGCATGGTGGAACTACATGGCATCAAAAGACGGGAAAGAAATTAACATACAATGTTTTTGTTTCCTTTATTCATCTAACAATTGTTTTGTACAGTGATCTTTTCATTTCAAACCTGGGTAATCATTTCATTTCTTTTACATTGTTTAATTTGTCTTTATATCCTCAAAATGAAATGGATATTTTTTAGACATTGTACTTTTACCTTCATTTTCTATTGCAGTTAAAGAAAAGTGCATTAAACTTACCATCACAATCATTTTTAAGTAGTTTAGTAGTGATAAGTATATTCACATTGTTGTGCAATGAATCTCTAAAAATGGAACTTTATCCCCAGTAAACATTAATTCCCTCTCCTCCTTCCCCTCCTGCAGCCCTTGGCAACCACCTTTCTACATTAGGTCTCTGATTTTGACTGCTTCCGATGCTTCATATGACCGAAATTATATGGTATTTATCCTTTTGTGACTGACTGACTTCGCTTAGCATGATGTCCTCAGTGTTCATCCATAGAGTAAGATGTGACAGGGTTTCCTTCTTTTTAAGACTACATCATATTCCATTGTATGTATATGCCATATTTTCTTTATTCATTCATCTGTCTGCCGACATTTGGAATCCTTTCACCTCTTGACTATAGTGAGTAATGCTACAAAGAACATGAGTGTGCATGTATTCCTGTAAGATAATGCTTTGAATTATTTTAGATATGTACCAGAAGTGGGATTGCTGGATCATTCATTTTTAATTTTAGGGGAAGCTTTATACTATTTTTTATAACAGCTGAATTATTTTACATTTTTACCACCAGTGCACATGCTTCAATTTCTCTATATTCTTATTCAAGCTTGTTTTCTAGTCTTTTGATAGTGGCCACACTGATGGCTATAAGATGATATCGCATTGTGGTTTTGATTTGTATTTGAAGACTTACGTTGCGCGTCTTTTCACATGCTCTTTGGCCATTCTTATGTATTCTTTTGAGAATTATTTATTAAGTTCTTTGTTCATCTTTAAATCCGGTTGTTTTTGGTATTGTTGAATTATAGAAATTTTTAATATATTCTAGATATTAACCTCTTGTAAGATATGACTTACAAATATCTTTTTTTATTTTATAGGTTGATTTTTTAACTTGCTGTTTCCTTTTATGGAGTTTGATGTAGTCCCATTTGTCTGTTTTTGTTTAGTTACCTTTTTGTTTTTTATTTCATAGCCAATGAATCATTGCCAAGTTCAGTGTCATTTATGCTTTCTTCTAGGGGGATTATAGTTTTAGGTCTTATGTCTAGGTCTTTACTCATTTTGAGTTAATTTTTGTCTGTGACGTAAGATAAAGCTCAAACTTCGTTCTTTTGCATGCAACTATCCACTTTTCCTACATCATTTGTTGAAGAGACTCCTTTTCCTCCACTGTGTGAACTGGCACCCTTGTTGAAGTATACACCTTGTTGAAGTATACACATTAGGTAGTATACACCAGAGTTCATTTCTCAGCTCTGCATTCTGTTCCATTGGTTTATATGTCTGTCTTTATGCTAGTGCCACAGTAAACTTAACTATTGCTGCTTCATGATATGTTTTGAAAGGAGGATCGAGATCTCCAATTTAGTTTGTTTTCAAGATTGTTTTGATTATTCAGAGTCCCTTGAGATTCTATATAAATTTCAATTTTTTTAATTTATGAAAAAAATGTCACTTGCATTTTGATAAAAATTTCATTTAATCTGTAGATTACTTTGAGTAATATCGATATTCTAACATTAACTTTCCAATCCACAAGCACAGGATATCTTTCTCTTTGTTTGTGCATTCTTTTATTTCTTTTAGCAATGTTTGATGGTTTTTTAGTGCATGACTCTTTCACTTCCTTGGTTAATTTTATTGCTAGTTATTTTATCCTCTTTGATGTTATAGTAACATCTTAACTTCTTTTTTGAACTGGTCACTGTTAATGTATAGAAATATTGCTTATTTTGTGTGTTGATTTTATATTCTGCAACTTTGTTAAAATCATTTACTTTGGATGCGTTTTATTTCTTTTTCTTGTCTAATTGCTCTGGTTAGGACTTCCAGTACTATGGTGAA